CCTGTTGACTGGAACAATCGGTGTGAGAACAACAACATGAATGGTATTCATTTAACCACTGTCCCTGTCTCTCTTGACTGTAGTAATTTGGAATCGACCGCTAACAACAATGTTAATCGAATAGAATGAGTCCTTGTATTAGTGAAACAAAAACACTTTTTTTTCATCCATTAGACAGAACAAAAGTGTAAAGATTCAATCCGACTTCTTCATCAAACGAATAAAATCAAAAGTTATCGTTGAATCAAGCTTTGATCTGTATAATCACCAAACAAAAGCTACTAAAATTCTTAGGAAAAGAAATGGATCCAAGTAAATAAAGTTGATAAAGAAATATTTAGGATTGAGTAACCCCATGATAAAATTTTCTAAAAAAAGTCTAATGACATAAGGGCACTGTGGTGGAGTATAATTCCACATTACATTAGCTTATTTGACAAACCCAGCCTACAGTCATACAATTATTATTTATTTGATGACGCTTCGATTAGAATTTATTGCTTATATTCATATCAGAGTAAGAATGACTTTGAAGACCACCCTAGCAACTGAAGAAACAACCAATCACGTTTCCCTATTTTATGAAAAATTGTCTTCCCAGCCAAAATACTGTCACCTGATTGGTTGTTTTGGTAGTTGTTAGGGTGGCCTTTAAAGTCGCCCTCAAAGTAATTACACAACTTTCAAACTTTATGTAGTCCAACAGTTTTTCATTCGTTTATTTTAGTGGTAGTAAACCTTTCCAGAAATCTGCAATATGTGATGAGTTAGTCATTACTGTTTCATATGTTAGGTTTGTTGTCGCCTTATCCCACCCACCCTATAGTATGTTTATGGGTCAGTGGACGCACAGCTATAGCTGAGTCGAATATTTCGATAAAATTTTTGTTTTCTGCTATTCTGACTGACCCAGATCGGCTGTTTTGAGCTATGTACTTGACCTCACAATCATTACATGGTATTTGATAGATAGATTATTTTATCTGATTGTCTTTACTGAGTCATTTTAGCCTACAAAGTTTATATCTGAGCGAGTTTGTGGGTCTAAATTCCACCTTAATCCCAGCATCGTTAAGAATTCTACGTAAAATTTTTAATGTGCCTTCTTTAAATGGCAATTCTTCAGGGGATTTGAACTCCCTCTTAGGCATAGCACGATCACCACCATTACCACTCCTTCTATGATCAATCCTTATAGACGTTTTAAATTCATGAGGGTAGTTATTAAGAAGTAGTTTATCTTTGATGTGTTTTATCTCCTTATTCAAATTTTCTGACTTATCAATCAAACTCAACCCGATTACCCAGACATTTTACCAACCCTACTTTGATAGACATCGGGTGAGATTATATGAAATCCAAGTATCTATTCAAAGATGTTGATTCCCCATCTTCTCTTCTCTGGATTTTGCAATCCTGCATATGTGATTCTCCTTCTTCATTCTCTAATGCATAAGCGAATTCGATTGGATGTGCGCTATCGAGTTAATGTGTGATAAAAAAACACAACAACTTTGAATATGTTTTAATTTCAATACAGTAAGGGTGTCTTCTACATATTGCCACCATACTTTTGGGGTGGGTTGGAATTATTCATAATCCTGTCTGTTCTCAACTGTCCTCATAAATGTATCTGCTACGATCAGAGATATCGGAGATCCCATTGCTACGCTTTCTCTTTTAATGATATATTTTGTCTTGAAATTTGAAAACTGTGGAAGTTAAACACAATCTTATCCCTGGCATAATTTCTTCAGTAGAAACTCTAGTTCTATTACAGAATTCATAATCAATTGTGATTTCATTTTTGACTGCCTCAAGTGTTATATTAATTAGTATATTTGTATAAAGGCTTGTCACATCAAAACTCACCATCTTTTCTCCCTTCTCTAATCAAGTATCATTTAGTCTGCATTTCAATTCAAGCGACTGTGGTTTAGAATTTATTTTATTTTATTTGTCCCTCGCGTTTCTACTGGAACATATGGATGGATTCAGTAGCACATCGCACTTTCACTCTCCTCTCTGCAGTCTTCTTGACCTGATTACACCACTGCCCAGTTTTCATTTTTTGGCTGCATATCTTCATCACCTCTATCTTCTCTACATCCCGTCTTCATTGCCTCTTCTGTCAACTTGTCAATTTTCACCTATAGATCTTCGAGTTTGTGCGACAACACATTAGACATAAATCATCATGGCGAAATCCAAATCTTCAGGGCTCTTTTCATCGGTCCACTCAGCGTATACCCATCCTCTCGCTCATCACAGTTTCTTGCACGATCCAGTCCAGTCCAGTTGACCACAATCACGAAGACGATTGGTGATAGTAGGCGGCAACCTTGTCTTACTCCTATCCCCTATCTTCACTTCGAAGGCATCACTCAGATTTCCATTGTGAATCACTTGGCATGTAGCATATAGCTGCTGTTAAATGAGATTGATTAAGCTTTGTGGCACTAAAACCGTAGTGTTGAAGCAGCTGCCGAATTACTTCTCGGTCGACGCTGTCGAAGGCCTTTTCAAATTGGATGAAGTTGAGGTAAAGAGTTGATTGTCATTTTATGCTCTGTTCTATGATGATGCGTAGTGTTGCAATTTAGTCCGCATACGATTTGTTCGTCCTGAAGCCAGCTAACCACCCAACTTGTTCCGGTCGTAATTTTGAATGCGGAGCATTTTGTAGTCTCTTGTGGCTTAATATTTTGCTTTGGATGGACAGGGGTGGAGCATGACTCCGCGCCAGTTCTTGCAAAGACTTAGGTCGCCCTTTGAAAGTTCGACGAGGTAGCCCTTATTCCAATCAATCGTCAGGTACCTTTGCTTGCTTCCTTCCAAACGTTCTGCAATAGTGGTGTGAGCATGTCCTCTGTTGTCTCTGCGTCTATTTCCAGTGCTTCTGGCGGGATTCCATCTGGTCCTGCTGCTTTCCCCGATTTCAGCAAATTTATGCCGCTCAGTACTTCACTTCTGCTTTTGTCGGAGGGTGTGCGTTCACTGATAGTTCTGTGACTGGGCTGCTGGTGGTATTTGTGGACGAGTTGCAGGTGATGGTGGTGGTGGATTCAAGAGTTTTTTTTGAAGTGGTCAGCCCATTGTTTCCTTTGTATCTCCTCTTTGATACTAGGTTTCCTTCACTATCTCTCATTGGTTTCGTCTGCGTTGATCTCTCCCCTTCCAGACAGCAAGTAACCTGGTTATTTGATATAATGTTGTCAGGTCACTGAGTCTCCTACCTGCAGCCTGTTCTGTTTCACTTGCAAGTGTGTCGTGAAAGTATGTTTTGTTTTTGCGCGCACTCTTCTCCACTTCCTTATCCAGTGTAGGTTGTGTTCATTTCCTCTTTTCGTTGTTCATCCTTGCACTGCACTGCACTGCACTGGTTCATCTACTGCTTCACCATTTTCCTCTCCCTCCTCTATCACCTTCCATGTGTCCGTCAACATCCATTCCTTGTCTTACCGCTTCTTCTTCCTTCCTAATGCAATTATGCAGGTTTCTTTCCACATAGCTTTCAAAGAGTTCCAGTGTTCTTCCACACAGGTTCCTTCAAGGATGTTGCTCAATGTCTCCCATTTCGTCCTGAAGATGTCCTTTGTAGTTTCGTCCTCCAGTTTCTGTTGTTGGTGTTGCACTTGAACTGTGGTCTGTCATCACCACTTCTTTGAAGGCTTTCAACTTGATTTTGAAGGTATTTTCCCTGCACTAGATAGCCTGGTGGTGTGAACCTACATCTGCTCCCCTTCTTGATGTGATCTTGTGTCCAATATGCTGCGTCTCTACTTTCTTCACATTGAGATGAAGTCGATCTGATTTTATTGTATCCATCTGGTGAAATCCATATCACTTAGTGGATATCCTCGTGTTTGTACACACTGCCTGACTCCAATCACCAAATTGTTAAATGTGCAGAAGTCTGCAGACAGTTCTCTATTCTTCTTCATTTCACGGAGTGGTGCTTCTCGACCATGATTGGTTGTCTTACTGTTTTATCCGCCCCCAGTTTGGCATTCGTGTCGCGCATTAGAATTTTGATGTCGCCAATTGGGGTGGGGTCTTCTCCACCACTGATTGGAGTTGTCTGTATAATTCCTCCTTCTTCTCTTCATCTGCATCATTTGTAGTCTAAGTGCATACAGCAGCATTGTATGATTGTGACTTTCCTTCACTTTGAGTTGAATCCTGCTGTCATGATCCCAATCCTGGATGAGACTGGTTCCCACTTCATGAGAGACAGCCTTCGATGATCTTGGAGACATCATGACAGTGTGGTCATGGTTGTCGTCTGGGTGACAATATCGGAGAGGATTATTGACTCTCCAGTTGACAGTTGGAGCGTCCACTTCCATTCCATCTGCTTTCACAGATTCCAAGCACTTCTGTGTTACTCCTTCTCATCCCTTGGCAATCTGGGCAGCCTTTGTAGGTTCATACATGGTGCGGACATTCCATATCCTCATTCTTACTTTCACTTTCATCGAGAGAGGCGAAGACACATCGGTCGACTGGCTTCGTGAAGGCTTTCACCAACTGGCGTCATTTCTTCTCTCTGATTCCGGCGAGGAATAGTTTGTTTTTATTTTTTATAATTTCTTTGTGGTTTGAAGTTTCTTTAGGGATTGTATTGGTTTTCCGGGGTGGGGGTAGGGGTAGGGTTAGTGGTAGGGTTGCTAGGCTTATGTCCAACCTTCCCTCTATACGCGGGCTTAGGACCGGCTAGAGTAACTAGTGAACTAGTTAACTAGGTGACGTTAATTGGAAATTTGAGCCTCACAAACAGTTAAGTGTTCAGCTAAACTAGAGGGGCTTGAAATTGCAGTTTTCTTACTTTGTTGAAGGAAGAAGCCTCTACTTTTCAAATATGCTTTTGTCTATGCCTGACAATCGTATATTCAATATTTGATTGTTTAATATGCATCAGGTTATTTTTACTTTTGATATGAATTGTTATTTAACAGGTTAATTTTCATGGTTATTTCTCCATTAATAATTTAATCTAGGGTTAATTATCCGGGATCATCGCCTACATACTGCGTTACAAGCAGTGCCATTGGTCAATTAACTTCTGAACAACCGTGAAAGTACACAAGAGATCACACTCGAATTTCAAGATTAACTTTCCATCATTTTTGTTAAAGCAACTGAGCATTCACAGCCTCGTATTGTTGTTCCTAGCACTTCTACAACCGTGACTACATTGACTACGATTTCAGCGTCATTGTCATCACCGTCATCACTACAACGGACTAGTGTTCAACAGTCACGTCCAACACGTGTCAAAGTGTTATCTAGAACAGGCCAGGGTAGTAGTAGCAGTGGTGGTGGTAGTGGCCTGAACTTGAAGCGATTATCACATTCAGCACATCGTAAAAAGCATGGGTTGCTTGTTTCCCCACCAGATAATGAAACCTCAACTATTTTACAATCGAATGATCCTAGTCATGTGTTCACTAACGATATTATTGGTGAACTAGATTCGAATGCAGATTTATTATTGGTGAGTAAAGGGGATATCAATGGAACTAGTATATTACGTCGTCGGGATAGTTGTCAAAGTGATGGTTCACAAACTGCACTTATTGACTTGGAGCCTGTTATCGCAAGTCCTAAATCATCGATCCAATCATCTCGACCGATAATAAAGCACACTGATTCATATAATCAACCGGATTCAAGAAGTTCAATTCGATATAATAAAGGTTAGTGGAAAAAAAGTCACTTGTTATATGATATATGATTATGAGCAATAATTTATGCTCGAAACATAATCAAGTAAATAATACTGTATCACTGTGCGCTTTATGTCAAATAAACAAATCTAATATGGAATTACATTCTACCACAGTGCCCAAGTTTTTCACTTACACTTGTTATATAGTTTTTAGTGTAGGAGATTATATAGAAAACTTATATAGGACATTGGTCCCGGTTTGTCAATACGACAATGAGTGACATTGATTATATTGGGGTTACTGATAATTCCTGGTTGGTTAATCTCATTAAGTGAAGCAGATTTCTAGCCTGTGAACTGTTAACTGACGAAACCATTGATCCATAGCTCCCTCACCTGAAAAGACTGATCAGCTATTCAGCTCTAAAATGTAGCTTTGAAGAAGAGCAGAACACTTCAAGGTGGGGGCGTTTTAATAGTTTTAAGGTACTATTCATTCACTTGTTTGCTTCTTAACTACAATATGTATGAGACAGTAGCGTTAACTGCTTAACAGTGAATGGTCGAAAAATGTGTAAAAATACTTAAAGTAAATCAAATCATGGAGTACTAATAAACTTTTGTCAGATATCTTCAAGTGCTTCAGTTAGTTGTCTGTTTATTACTAATTCACGTTTTAATTTGCGGAAAACAAGTCGGGTGTAACACTATTACAGTGATCATTTATTGTCTAATTTGTCTAATAATTATCATCTGATCATCAACAAAGTAATCTAATGAAATTACTAAAACCCTGGAATAGGTCGTTTTTGACTATTATTTAAGAAGATGAATGAGGTTTTTAAATTTAGAAGTAGTATTCATCATGGACTGACATCAGTTGACTTGCTTCCAATGGATATCACGAAGTTTTAATGAGAAGCCGTTACCTGTGGAGTCAACCATTCGGAAGTGAAGTGGATGTTAACTGAAGACCTTGGGTGATAGTCGTGCTATGTTGTGAATTGACAGAATTTGGAAATTGTGAACCACTGGAAACCGACCCAGTGGCTGAATGGTTGACGCGTTCGCCGTGAAACCTGAAGGTTCTGAGTTCGACCCCTAGCTGGGTGGTGGGTGCGTACTACTGAGGAGTCCCATACTAGGACGAAACAGCTGTCCAGTGCTCCCAGATTTTCAATGGTTCCCCAACTGATGTTAGTCTATGATGAATACTACTTCTAAATTAAAAAATCCCCATTCATCTCAAAGATTCATTATTATTTAAGAAAAAAGGTATATTTCTCATAGAAAAGAACAGATTTAAAATCTGATCGGAGAGGTTACTGATCATCCAGCGAACTAATGCCAATCAAATGATAATGAGGGCTTAGTTAATATAAGTGTAAAACTTGGGCACTGTGGTAGAATTTAATTCCATTTTAGATGTGTTTATTCAGTATACAGTACACAGTTACACTACTTTCAATATCTAATTTTTATAGTCCTGTCGTCACTTGATATTCTTTGTTTATAGTGGTTGTAAAATGTTTCATATCTCTTTTATGCGTGTTGCATCGTTCCTATTCCACATTTGTTGGGTGTTGGTTGATTTGATGAACAAAGATTCAGTAACAATCTCTTTCTCTCTCCACTTAATTATATTCGACTCAAGTACAGTGGTTGTGTGTTACTATGCATGCATTACAATAGCCGACTTCTCTTTCTAGATTATTGATCATCTAGTTGGGGCCTATCATTCTATATTTAGCTAAATTTCTATGCTCCGCTAATCTAACTGACCCCAACCAGCTAGTTTGACCTATGTACTTGATCTCGCAATCATTACATGGAATTTGGTAGATTAGATTATTTTACTTAATTAGTCTCATCGGATCCTTAACCCAGCCGACAAAGCATATCTCTGAGTGAGTTTGTAGGTTTAAATGCCACCTTGATGCTATCCTTGCTGAGAATTCTAAAAGTTTCTGATGTACCTTCTTTATAGGGTAACATAATGGAGGCTGTGAACTTCTTTCTACTTGTGTTGTCGCCATTATTTGTATTCGTACGACTGTTATTATTTTGTTTCTTATGTTTTCCTACGAATTTCTTAATAAACTGTACAGGATAATTATAAAAATTAACGCTTCTCTTATATGTTTCAATTCCTTACTTATGTCCTTGCACTGACTAGTTGGTTTTCTAGCTCCATCATCCAGACATTTGACTAGACCCACCTTAACTGATAGAGATTGAATGAGATAATCTGAAGTCTAGATACCTGTTAGAGTGTGTCGGTTTCCTGTAGACATTAGCATTTAAACCACCGTCTGTCCTTCGTTTTCTCCGATCCAGCATAGGTAATTATCCTTGTTCGGTAATGGACGCAATCCAGTTCACTTACGTTGATATGATTATGAGGAATAAGTAATTTATGCTGGAAATGTCATCAAGTAAATGATACTGTATAACTCTCTGTGTTATAAATCGAATAAACAAATCTAATATAGAACGAAGGCTTGATATCATTCATCCCCGGATTATTTTTGCAGAATGAAGTTAGATAACTGGAGCATACATTTTTTGTACTGTAAATTGAAGATATATACTTCTAGGATCCAATCAGATAGATGTAATCATCTTGAACCACAAGAAATAACTAGTACATTATAGACTGACTTTAAAACCCACCTTAGTAACTACCAAGTTAACCAATCAAACGTTAGAATTTCCTCTGGAAAGATAGTTTTTCATAGGATCGTGGAACGTGATTGGTTATCTCAGAAGTTGGTAGGGTCCCCTTTAAAGTCACCCACATTATAGAATTTCGAAATTTGAAAAGTTTCTATCATGCAAATTAGAATAAGATAAATAGGGCGGATAATGATATTTTCATTTCATATTAGATTTGTTTATCGGATTTATAACACAGCGAGTGATACGGTATTATTTACTTGATGACATTTCCAGCATAAATTACTTATTCCTCATAATCATATCAATGTAATCACTAACTATCGATATCTGATTTTTGTAGTTCTGTCACCTCATATGAATTGTTTTAACTGGTAGTAAAATTTTCCATATCTCTGGTATGGATGTTGCATCATTTCTACTACATGTGTTGCGTGTTGATTTGATTAACAAAGATTCAGTAATAAATCTCTCCCTCACTCTGCATTTAGTTATATTGAACTTAAGCAGTACAGTGGTTTTATCCCACCTCATTGTGTGTTTGTGTGTTATTGCATGAATTGCAGTAGCCGAGTTACTTTCTAGATTATTGATCTTATACAGGTCTATCATTGTATATTTAGCTAAATCCCCCATGTTGTACTAATCTAACTGACCCCCACCGGCTAGTTTGACCTATGTACTTGATCTCGCAGTCATTATATGGAATTTGATAGATTAGATTATTTTGCTCATTAGGATCCTTAGACCGACTAATTCGTACTAACACACAAGAAACGAAATAATAACAGTAATACGAGTACGAATAATAAGGATAACACGATTAGATAGGAGTTCACAGCCTCCATTGTGTTATGAATATAAGAAGATTTGTCAGAAACTTTACGTAGGATTCTCAACAAGGCTGGAATTAGGTTGACATTTAAACCTACAAACTCACTCAGAGATAAACTTTGTCGGCTTAAGGGTTCGAAGAACCACTTCAGCAAAATAATCTAATATATCGAATTCCATGTGATGACTGTGAGGTCAAGTATATAGGTCAAACTAGCCGGTTGAGGTCAGTTAGATTAGCAGAACATAGGAATTTAGCTGAATATAGAATGGCAGACCCGAATAAGATCAATAATCTGGAAAAACGCTCGGCTTTTGCAGTGCATACGTTAACACACAACAGAGTAGGTTAAAACCGCTGTATTTAAGTCTAGTATGATTAGGTGGAAAGATAGAGGTTGATAACCGAATCTTTGTTCATCGAATCAACCAACACTTGTGGAATAAGAATGATGCAACACCTCTACACCAGAGATTTGGAATCTGCGAGGACTGGATAGTTGTTTCGTCCTATTATAGGACTTAGCAGTGCACACCCATGACGCCACCCCGTCAGGGATCGAACCCTGAGCCTTCAGGTTCCGTAGCCAACGCGTTACCATTAGGCGAAACACAAACATCCAAGAATTTCGCAATACACCTACATACCATTCATACATATCAGCTATATTACTCCACTGATGGCGATATCCAACTGTATTGATTATGGTTTCTGGTCACATTATCTGTTTACTTTAATTTACTGAAATCTATGCCACCGGTTACCTTTAATTATATGTCGTATCAGCCTGTTAGGAAAACCCTCTCCTTTTCAAGGACGAAATTTCTATCATCAGATCAGTCTTTTTTTTAATGTTAGACATTTTTTGCAGTCTTGTCGAAATTGCGCCTTTTAAACTGTGTTTAGTTTCAGTAATAAACAAATGTATTAAGTTTTAAGCACAGTGTTACAGTTTCTTTTAGATTCCAAGTGATGACTAACTAGACCCCAGTCGAAGTGATAACTGAAATCCTAAAAGTTCAGAACAAAACTATTGGTATGTTGTTGTCTGTATTATTCTGTCGTTGATTGGACCGAATTGGTCAGTCTCCATTAGCATATGGGTTCCTACTTGGATGCCTCGATATTCCCTGTCATTTGAATTCCACTACAAGCCTTCAATTACATTAGTATCGAAATTGAAACGACAGGTAATATCGAGGCCATCAGCTCAGGAGCCCATATGCCAATAGAGACAGGTCAATTCGGTTCAATCAACAACGGGATAATACAAGCAACATCATATAAACTATACCCGGTAGCACAAGAAATGGCCATCATGACTAGGTGGCTTAGTGGATAATGCTCTGGCATTTGAAGCGATCGGTCCCCGGTTCGAGTACTAGTGAGAATAACATCGATCACTGTGAGACAGGTGCATCGAGCTGATGAATCCCAAGTAGGACAAAACGCGCGCTCTAAATTCCACTACTAGCCACCACTCATCATTAATATCGGGACCATTGATGTTTATTGTC